ACTTATTCGGCGCAAAGTGCGTCGGGTGATGTTGCCAAGGGGGGGGGGGGGAGGAGGCGGGTTAGATATAAATGACCATCCGTGAGCGGTCGGAGAGTTGGCCGGACACAACCGCCGTGCGAGCTTGCTACTGACTGTCTGATCTACAAGTCCCACCCTCCGATTCCCGTGCGCAAACCCATTTGAATTGAACCGTCATATAGCCAAAATCAAACCATTCGGCTAGCCAGCTAGTCAAGTGGTTTGATCTCAGCGTCTATAATAACATCTCCCATGCCAACTCTCCGATCCATGCGATGCTTCAAAAAATAGTATGGCAGCGACGTGAACGTAGAGGTGGGGACACAGGGGTTTTCACGTAGGGACAGGATGTGTGATCGATTGCTGGGAAGTACGAGAGGAAGATCCACATTTATTTGCTGGCGTGTGTGGATCAGACCAGTGAGAAGCGGCTATTTTTCCTCGCTGTAAGGGCAAAGACAGCGGGGTGCAAGACCAGGTAGCCTACGCGCGGTGCTATGCTGTAGTGTTCGATGCGGGAGCCTGCCGGTACTCAAGTCGGGAAAAAACATGACCAGACACACATGAACATGAACCAGTGCACCACATCGGGGAGGATGCACGGGAGGAGGCGATTGACGATAGAATTTTTAGGGGAGACCAAAAAGGCTGGCAGTATTCCTCCCACCCGCATTACATTCAATCGGACAAATACATGGTAGGATGTGGTATCATATGTATCTCGCTACACGAACGACCATCTCCATCCTGTTCTCCTCAGCCGCAATCGTGTCCTCAGATTGAGTAGTTCTAAGCTTACTCTCCTCTGTTCTCCCCCCCCCGCGCGCTCGGTTATCGTTTCCTCAGATTGAATATGCCTGTGCTTATTTCTCGCTGTCTCCGCCCCCTCTTGGTTGTCGTTTTGCTAGTTCTGGCACGTACTCGAATAAAAGGCGAGCAACGTGTAAAGGCGGCAAGTCAAGTACTTCAAGCCTAAAGAGACCGACACGGCAACCGAGCGCGGGGGGGGGGGGGGGGGGGGGGGGGGAAGAAAAGCATAAAAAAACCCCCTTTTAGGGAAGGAAAAAATTTCTGGTGGGGGAAAAAAAGGAAAACCGGTTTCCCAAAATTTCTCCCAACTTTTCCAATAAGTT